TAATTCAATTATTTTTATAAATAATAATAACATTCTTCTCAGGAATTCAATTATTTTTGAAAATTTTAATAAAATTCTATGCAACTATGTATTCAATTATTTTCATAAATAATAAAATTCATAGTAGAATTTCAATTATTTTTAATGCAATTCTACAGGAATTGCTCAAAAAATGTAATTCCTAAAAAATTTAATTTCAATTTCTCGAAAATATTAATTGTTTAAAAAAATCTTTTTTTTTAATTCTTTGGGAGAATTCAATTATTTACAAAAATATTAGAATTTTTCATAAGAATTCAATTATTTTCAAATATTTTAATAAAATTGTTCGAAAGAAATAAATTATTTTAAAATTTAAATACAATTTGAATTACATTTTTTTTAAATAATTTAATTATTTTGAGGCATTTTAATAAAATTCTTTACAAAATTCAATTATTTTCATAAAAAACAATAGTCATCACGAAAATTCAATTATTTTTAAAAGTAATAAATTTTTTTACCTAAATTCAATTATTGTTAATCAATTTAATTAAATTTTCCGCAATAATTCAATTATTTTTATAAATAATAATAACATTCTTCTCAGGAATTCAATTATTTTTGAAAATTTTAATAAAATTCTATGCAACTATGTATTCAATTATTTTCATAAATAATAAAATTCATAGTAGAATTTCAATTATTTTTAATGCAATTCTACAGGAATTGCTCAAAAAATGTAATTCCCAAAAAAATTTAATTTCAATTTCTCGAAAATATCAATTGTTTAAAAAAATCTTTTTTTTTAAATTCTTTGGGAGAATTTAATTATTTACAAAAATATTAGAATTTTTCATAAGAATTGATTTATTTTCAAATATTTCAATAAAATTGTTCGAAAGAAATAAATTATTTTAAAATTTAAATACAATTTGAATTACATTTTTTTAAAATAATTTAATTATTTTGAAGTATTTTAATGAATGTCTTTACAAAATTCAATTATTTTCATAAAAAACAATAGTCATCACGAAAATTCAATTATTTTTAAAAGTAATAAATTTTTTTACCTAAATTCAATTATTGTTAATCAATTTAATTAAATTTTCCGCAATAATTCATTTATTTTTATAAATAATAATAACATTCTTCTCAGGAATTCAATTATTTGAAAATTATAATAAAATTCTTTGCAACTATTCAATTATTTTCATAAATATAATAAAATTCATCGCAGAATTTCAATTACTTTTTAATACAATTTTACAAGAATTTCTCAAAAAATGTAATTTTTTAAAAATTTAATTTTTATTTATCGAAAAAATCAATTGTTTAAAAAAGTTTTTTTTTTAATTTTTTTGGAAGAACTGAATTATTTACAAAAATATTAGAATTTTTCACAGGAATTCAATTATTTTCAAATATTTTAATAAAATTGTTCGAAAGAAATCAAATATTTCAAATACAATTTTAATTAAGTTTTTTTAGAAATAATTCAATTTTTTTTTTTGAATTTTAATAAAATTATTCTCTGAAAATCAATTATTTTGAAGTATTTTAATGAATGTCTTTGCAAAATTCAATTATTTTCATAACTAACAATATTCATCAGAAGAATTCAATTATTTTTAAGAGTAATAAATTTTTGCTTGGAAATTCAATTATTTTAAAAAGTTCTAATAGAATCGTTCGCAAGAATTCAAATATTTTTTTTAAAAATTTAATAAAATTCCACAGACATTCAATTATTCTCAAAAATTTTAATACGATTCTTTATATAAAATTTAATTATTTGTAATAACTTTTTGCAATTAAAAAAAAAATGTTTGAATTAAACATATTTTATAATTGAATTAAATATAACTTTTTTTTTAATGAAACTTATTATGTGTTGAATAAAAATTATTATTTCTTAATTCAAAAATAATGTTTGATAGTTACCATATAATTATGTTGATTTTTGCATTAGATTTTTTTGGCATTTTTCTGTTTTTGAAAGTCAAAAATCAAAAGTCAAAAATCAAAGATAAAAAATTTAACCTACGTGAGAGATAATAAAGTGGACCTGTATGATAGATTCTAACGGTTTTAAGTTCAGATTCACCTGCTGCGGACAAATCAGAGGCATTATACTTTCATTCTTATAAACGAGCGAGCAATAATAATAATTGACAGTAGCGCAGAAAAGAAAATTACTTCTGTAATCTTTATGATTAATAAAAAAAAGTTCAATTAACCTTTTTAATGGATAAAATCATAATTTCCGATTAGTTTTCGAAATTAAGCATCGAAAATAAAATTAGTCTGTACTCTCTAAATCTGAATATGTGAAAATTCACATATTTGTACGTTATAAGTCGTCTTCTCGATCAATAAGTGCATATACACTTATAATAAGTGAAATTTCACTCAGAATAAGTGAAAAATTCACTTATTTATAAGTGTATATGCACTTATTGATCGAGAGGACGACTTATAACGTACAATAAGTGAAATTTCACATATTCAGATTTAGAGAGTAGGGTATTGAAATTAAAAATTGAAAGCACTTTTGAAGCTTAATTCATACTCTCAAGGCTAAAATTAAGTAAAGAATGAGACTAATTGTTTTTTTTCCTAAACGATTTTAGTCAGAAGTGAGCTGAATATAAGATTCATTTTTTATTTAAACAATATTTAGGGGAAAAACTATCAATTTAATTTCTGTTTTTCAAATATTGGCGCCAATTATTCTAGGGGCGCTGCTGTTGCTAAAAACAAAATTTGGCGCGAATTTTAAAAATACAAAAGCCAAATTACGTTATAAAATTAACAAATAAAGAAAGAGTAAATAAATTACAATATTTTCATATAGTACAACAATTCCTAAAGTACAAAAATAGTAACAAAAAATTAGTAAAATTTACTGATAAAATAAGAGAAATAAAAAAATAACCTTAAAAGTAATCAAATTCAGTTTAAAATTCGCGCCATTATCCTAGAGGCGCACCTGTTGCTAAAATTGAAAAAAACGCGCGAATTTTAAAAATAAAATTTATTTTTCTTTACAAAATTTGCGAATAATGAAAGAAAAAATAAATTACCTAATATTAAACAATTCCTAAAGCCCAAAAATAAGCAAAGTTGATTAGAAATAAAGAAATAATAAATAATAGACATAAAAAAATTTACTTTTTAGCTCGCTTTTTAGAAATAGTAAAATTTAATCTAAAATTACTTATTTAGTTAAAATAAATAACAGGCAAAAAATTTATAAAAATGTGAAAGTAAACATTGCGCTACATTGTAAAAGAGTTAAAAAATAAATATATAAAGAGAATATGAAGAATAATTTATTTCTCACATATATATGTGGTAGGTAGATTTTTTTTCTGGATCGTGAGAAAATTCGGGACCTTTTATTATCAAGAAAAATAAATATTGCAATAAATCCCAAGGAAGTGACCGTTGTCTTGAAAACTTGTAATTATTGTCCTGTCGCTTATATTCGCCCTTTTTATCTGTGGGTCGAATCATTTTTTTTTACACGCGCGTGAAGGGCCCATTTAATTCAGTTAAAACTCTCGGATCCATCTTCATCGATCATCATCATCCATTCCCTTCACGAGAACGTCAAAATGTATATACAGATATCGCTTTCTTTTCTTTTTTTTTTTTCTTTCTTAAACCAACCTTTTTTTTCTGTTTATCATCGAGACATGGTTTGCCCGATTTTTTCACTTTTATGAGATACAATTTCTGTTTTACTTTTATATCAATCTTGAACAATGACAAGAGAAGATGAAGGTTCAAAAAATAACAGATTTTTTTATTTATCAATGAAAAATTGAAAACATTCTGTTATTTTATTTTTACCTTTGTACTTTTATTTTATATTTTAAAATTCGCGCCAAATTTTCTGTTTTTAGCAACAGTAGCGCTTGTAGAATAATGGCGCGAATATTTAAAAACAAATACAAAATTTCTAATTGCAGAAACATTGTGCTACTGAAAAATTAATTTTTGTCAATTTTTTACTAATTTTAAACTAAATTTGACTATTTTGAAAGTAAAATTATTTATTTTTACTAATTTATTAATAAATTTTACTATTTATATTATTAGTGTTGTGCTTTAGGAATTGTACGATATGAGAATTTCGGAGTATATTTTTTTTATTTCTTAATTTTAGAACGTGATTTGCATTTTATTTTTTGAAGTTAGCGCGTTTTTTTCTAATTTTAGCAACAGGAGCGCCTCTAGAATAATGGCGGCAAATTTGAATTTAGAATTTAAAGTGCGGTAGTTTTTTTTGCAGAAATTAATAAAAACATAGTAGAGACTAAAAATTATAGCGACAATTCAAAATTACTAATTTCTTTTTTTTAAATACCAAAAGAGGAGATTAAGAATTAAATTTTTATTTCTTTATTCACTATAAAATATAAATATCCAAGAGAGGAAATTAAATTTCACAAAGAGGGAACTGTAAAATTTTTTTTGGAAATTTTAATTTACTTTTATTTTTATTTTTATTTTTTTTGTTATAAATATCGAGAGAGAAGATATTAAATTTCGGGGAGAGGAAACTGAAAAAGATGAGAGGCTATGCGGCCCGAAAAAAAACTCGTGCGGCCTATATTAGCTAAAAAGCATTACGTATGCAAGCCGTTGGGCCTTGTTTATTCGCTTTATATACTCGCTCGTTTGCTTGCGTGCGATGAAATTTTCATCAGGCACTTTGGGATTTTTGCGGCATTCGTTAAAAGCAAAACTCCGCTCCCACGAAATGCCGATCGCTCCGCACCAACAAGGTGGTCGAATTAATCTTTTCGACAGTGTGTTATTGCTTCCGAATTTGCAATTTTCAAATTTTCCAATATATAGTATAGACAAACAGAAATAAAAGGAAAATTCCACTTTTTATTCCTTTTTTTCTGCGTCGAGTGCAAATTTTTTCAAATTCAATAAATAAATCTAAAATTAAAATATTTATAAGGCTCAAATATTTTGTGAAGAAAAAACAAACAAATTTTTACTTACATGACAATATTTGGGACGCGCTGTCAAGAAAGGTACCTAGAAAGCAAAAGAATTATTGGTTAGAATCATATTAGATTTATAATTCTTATTATTTATATTAAATTATTATTAAAAATTCATTTTTTATTATATGCAAATTTGAAACCTGTTTTTATTAACTTTAAAGGTGGGAGTAAACAATTTTATTTCTAAGGAGCTAGATTAAATTAAATTCAGGCTTTACGCTCAATAATTAATTTTAAAAAAAGTATCAAAAAGTACCTTTAATACTGAAAAAAAATATTAAAAAAGTAGTTATCAAAAATTAATTTTAACGAATCAAAAAATTATTTTAGACGATTCACAGTATTTCGATTCAGTATTTCGCTGTTTCCTGATTTCAATCAAAAATTTTTATTTTTATTCTAATTCTGCTTCTTAATTTTTCAAAAATTCAATTATTTTCAAAATTTGTATCCTAAAAAATACAATTGTATTTAAAAGTAATTTTTAAAAGAAACCAAGTGAAATTATTTAATAAAATTTCATTTAAATTCTTCACAGGAATTAAGAAAATAAATTAATAATTTTTCAAAGTCAAAATTTAAATGTTCTTACAGTTTTACAACAATTAAAATTTTCAACGATTTCAATTTAAATAATCTTTTAAAATTTAGTTATTTATTAAAAAAATCGTACTTTAACGCTTTTAATATTCAATTATTATTATCTAAAATATCAACTGAAATTCGTTTCTATAAATCAATTCTTATTAGAAAATTCGACTGAAATTCAACTATTAAAATACAATAATAAATAATATATTGAATAATTGAATGTTTCTCAAAATTTAATTCTTGTAAAGAATTTATCAATTTTTTAAAAAATAATTGAAATCCTTACGATGAATTTTATTATTTATGAAAATAATTGAATAGTTGCAAACGATTTTATTAGAATTTTTTAAAATAATTGAATTTCCAAGAAGCAATTTATTACTTTTAAAAATAATTGAATTTTCGTGATAAATATTGTCATTTACGAAAATAATTGAATTTTACAAAGAATTTTATTAAAATGCCTCAAAATAATTGAATTTTCGGGTATAATTTTGTCATTTATCCTTAATAATTAAATTCTTTCAAAGAATTATTTATGTAAATAATTGAATTCTTGGGAAGAATTTTATTAAAATCTTAAAGAAGAATTAAATTATTTTAAAAAAATGTAATTCAAATTGTATTTAAAATAATTTATTTCTTTCCAACAATTTTATTAAAATATTTGAATTCTTGTGAAAAAATTATAATATTTTGTAAATAATTGAATTCTTCCAAAGAATTGAAAAAATAACATTTTTTTAAACAATTGATTTTTTCGAGAAATTGAAATTAAATTTTTAAGAAATTACATTTTTTTAAGAAATTCCTGTAAAATGGTGTTAAAAATAATTTCAACCCTGCTGTGAATGTTATTATTTATGAAAATAATTGAATAGTTGCAAAGAATTGTTTTAAATTTTTCAAAAATTATTGAATTCCTGTGAAGAATATTGTTATTTATGAAAATAATTGAATTTTGCCAAGAATTTTATTAGAATGCCTCAAAATAATTGAATTTTCGGGAATAATTTTGTTATATTTCTCGAAATAATTGAATACTTTCGAAGAATTATTTATATAAATAATTGAATTCTTAGGAAAAATTTTATTAAAATCTAAAAGAATAATTGAATTATTTCAAAAAATATAATTAAAATTCTATTTAAAATAATTGATTTATTTTTAAAAATTTTATTAAAATATTTGAAAATAATTGAATTTCTGCGATGAATTTTATTATTTACAAAAATAATTGAATAGTTACAAAGAATTTTAATAAAATTTTCAAAAAAAAAATTGAATTCCTGAAAAGAATTTTATTATTTATGAAAATAATTGAATTATTGCGAAACATTTTATTAAAATGTTTAAAAAGAATTGAATTTCTGTGAAAAATTGTATTATTTATGAAAATAATTGAATTCTCGTGAAGAATTTTATTTAATTTTTTTTAAATAATTAAATTCTCGTGAAAAATTTTATTATTTTGTAAGATAATTGAATAATTGTGAAGAATTAAAGAAAGAATTTGTCAATTTTTTGAATAAATAATTGAATTTTCTAAAAGAATTTTACTATCTTTAAAAATAATTGAATTTCTCAGAAGAAATTTTATTATTTATAAAAATAATTGAATTCTTGCGAAGAATTTTATTGAATTTTTTTTAAATAATTGAATTCTAGTGAAAAATTTTATTATTTGAAAAAATAATTGATTTCTTGTGAAGAATTTTATTAAAATTTTTAATAGTAGGTAAAATTGAATTCTTGAGAAGCATTTTATTATTTATGCAAAAATAATTGTATTCTTGCCTGAAATTTTATTAAAATTTTTATAAATAATTTAAATTTTCACGAAAAATGTTTTATTGCTTGTGAAAGTAATTGAATTCTTGCTGTAGAATTTCATAAAAAGTTTTTAAATTGATTTTTTTTGAAAAATTTTTTGCAAAGTGCTATTTTAATAAAAATGATAAAAATTGGAAGAAAATTCAAATAAGTAAAAAAAATAGAAAGGAAATTTCTCTAAACAAACATAATATTAATATTTTCTTTAATTAAATGTAAAAATTATTATTTACGACTGTAATAAAAAACAAAATGTCAGAAATTAAAAAGAACAATATGTTGTTTATATTTTGCATATTTACACTTTCACTATACGATAATCATTCATAAAGTATAATATTCTCTGAAAACACAGATTACTCTTCTATGAATCAACCATTTAGGAATGTCCGAGAGAAAGAGAAGAGGGAAAGTTTTAAATGATGAAAACCTTGGAATTATAGTCCAAGTGTAAATATATCGAAGAATTTCAAGTTCCTCTAGATTATGCAACTTTAGTAGTACATGTTTATAATTCGAGGTCAATTTCAAATCAAATATTATTATTATAATAAAACTATTCTTTGGGTCATCGGGTCACCATGATGTTTATATATTTATCCACAAAAAAAAGAGAAAAAAAAAATCTTTTTAACAAATATTTTGTAGAAATAACTAAATAAGGAAAAAAATGAACGGTAATGTCTCACTTTTAAGTATGTAATCTTGTCTCTTCCATAAAATTAAATGATTATTTTGTCGATTTTTAAAAGAGTACTATATTTCTTTCGAAGGGAAAATTCTTATCTCAAAATTGTCATAAACTTCACTCTGGGTTTGAAAAAATATTTTAAAACGTTTTCTCCTTGATATCTTAATTCCTTTAAAAAAAAAAAAAGATTTAAATATTGCAAATTAGTTGAAAATATATTTAAAATCAAACGGAATTTAAAATTCTCGACTATTTTGCTTTTATAGATAAATAAATATTGAAGAACAATAAAAAGAGAATATTTATCAAATAAATGAACCCCTAGAGTACACATTAGGTCAGTCTGACCCCTTTTTTTTATTTTAAAAAGTTTTTTAAAAACTTTTTTTTTTTTAAAGGTGCTTTCTTAATAATTTTTTTTTTAAAAGTGTTTTCTTAATTATTCATTTAAAAAAAAAGTCTGTTTTAATTATTTAAATGATAATTTATAAATTTATTCAATTAATAAAAAATATGAGTAATAATAAAAAATAAGTCTGGGTACTAATTAATTTGTCCGCATGTTTCAAGAAGTTTTGACAAAATTTACAAGATAGTTTTCCATGTTTCAAAAAAAAAATAGGTGTGCTAATAAAACTATTTTTTGCATAATAAAGTATTAAAAAAAACCAGAAAAATTAATTATTCATAAAACGAAAAAAATTTTTACTACCTAATTTCTAATGTATGAAAAAAATACAAAAAAATTTTATTGCTCAAATAATCCACGTGGCTTATAAATTTGCACTAATTTCACAAAAAGTCAAAAAAAAAAAAAAAAGGAAGAAATTGTCAAAATTTTTGATTATAAATGCTGAATGTTAATTATTTTTTAAACTTGTATACTTTTATATACGAATTCATTAAAATAGAAATGAAAATAACGGATCACCAGTTCTCGTTCTTTATTTTACTTTTTTTCGGAGAGGGGGAGGGAATCCTGTAAGAAAAATTTATCGAGTAGTCAAAGACATCAAATTCAAATCGACACGTTTCGGTGAGATCAGAGATTTGTTTTCTCTCTTGCGCGCCACTATATGCCACCGCAGTTGTTAAGATTAAACATATATATGAATGTAAAAGGTGTGTGCGAGCATGTGTGGGCCATTGGAGAGATAAAGTGAAACCGTGGGGCCACGCTGTCTCGCGTTTCTTTTGCTTGCGCGCTCAATCGCGACAGCCCCATTCATTTCTTGTACCACAACAAATTTTTATTTTTTATCATTCTATTTTATAAAAGAAAAAAATTTGAATTATTATTGATTTTTTTTAAAATTTTTCTGGCTATAATAAATATAATTTGGTATCATTTTGAAAAAGAAATTATTTGATTCAAATAACCGATTAATTGACTATTATCAATTAAATATTTAATTGCTAGTCAATTAAGGGATGTATAAATGTAAAAACCTACGAGGTGTACATGGAAAGAATAATAAATAAATAAATATTGAATTGCTAGTCAAATAATATTTATTGGAATCAATTAAATGGTTCGATTATTTAATTGATAATAGTCATTTAAGGGCATTTGAACCATGATGACGTCACAGCCTTAAAACACATGCTTTGCAGAACCTATGACGTCATAATGGTTCAAATGCCCTTAATCGGTTATTTGAATAATATAAAAATTTTTTTTTCAGTGTATAATGTATATTAATTTTTTACAAGTAAAAAATATTTTATCTAGAACAACTATAAATTTTATTGTATTAGCAAAATTTTTGGTTGTTTCAGGTAAGACTTTCGATTTAAGAGAAACTTAAAAGCTGTTCGAGGTGAAATATTTTTTCGATGCATTTTATTTTGGTTTTAATTTTCTAGTTCAGAAAAAAATGATAAAATAGTTGAAATATTTTAAATTTTAACATTAT